GGACTGAGTGGCTGAAAAGAAGGAAAAGACTAATGTGCCTCCAGTGAGAGAGGGTGTAATTGGAGGGAACCAAGGTGAAAGGTGAGTACAGAAAGGGCTTTGGAAATGGTTAGACAAACCATGACGACTTCGATTCATTTACCGTCACTGGTTCCCTATTCTCTATAGGATCTAGTTCAGACTCATAGGTTGTTATATAAGGCCATCTATAATGTGTTCCAAGCCTACGCTCCTGGCGTCTGTCTGCCGCTGCTCTCCACCATACACTACTCTCTGCTTCAATGACACTCACCTACTCATTATTGCCCCAGAAATAATATAACCCTCTGCTTGTTTCTCCTGCCTTTGCTCATGTGCTTTCCTCCAACTGCAATGTCCTTCTCACTCCTGTCTAAATAGGAAACTATGCCAGGCATTAGGGATGCAAAGACAAAAAGAAATAGTCCCTGGCCTCAGGGAGCTTACATTCCACTGAGGGATGTAACATACCCATGTCACTATAAAGCTTATAAAAAGTTATTAAAATTTTCTTTCTTTGTTTTCTTTTGCTAGGCAAGGGGGTTAAGTGACTTGCTCAGGGTCACACAGCTAGCTAGTAGGTGTCATGTGTCCGAGGCCGGATTTGAACTCGGGTCCTCCTGAATCCAGGGCCAGTGCTCTATCCACTGCACCACCTAGCTGCCCCCGACAAAAAAGTTTTTAAAATTGATCAAATGTGCTACAAAGCACTTTGTAAACCTTGAAACACTATTAAACAGTATTATTGTTATTATTATCATTACAAATCAATGTCAAGAGAAAGTCCTAATAACTTGGGGTGGTGGTGGTAGAAATCAGAGAAATCCTTGTGTAGTAAGTAGCACATGAACTTTGCATTTAAAGGAAGCTATGGATTAATGATGAGGGAAGCTGGGCAGAACAGTGGAAAGAAAGCTGGGCTTGGAATCAGGAAGACTCATCTTCCTGAGTTCAAATCTGGCCTCAGACACTTACTAGCTATGTGACCCTAGGCAACTCACTTAACCCTGTCTGCCTCATTTTCCTCAACTGTAAAATGAGCTGGAGAAGAACATGGCAAACTGCTCCAGTATCTTTGCCAAGAAAACCCCAAAATGGGGTCATGAAGAGTCAAACACAACTTAAACGATCACACAAACAAACAAAAGGATCAATTATAGGAGGGGGAGGTGAGGAAGAAGTACATTATAGACGTGGGAGACCACTTATTTTGTAAAAGGGTGGGAGGTGGAAGATGGAATATCTTAAACCTGGATGACTGATAGGTGGTGCCTTTGACAGGAAGAGGGAGGTTCTAGGGATAGGGAAAAATAATGCATTCTGCTTTAGACATATGGAACCTGAGATACCTATGGGACATCTGAATTGTCCAATAGGCACTCATGATTCTGGATAATGGAGACCAGGGCTAGATAGATAAGAGTTAGACACCATCTCCATTGAGATGATAATTAAATGTATGGTAGCTGATGAAGTCACTGAGAGTGTACAGAGGTAAGAAAAGAACTTCCAAGAGACAACCATAGGCAATGTCTACACTTATTGGGTGGGAGACAGATGATGACTCAGACATGGGGGTCACGGAGTGGTCAGACAGGGAGGAGGAGGACCACCAAGAGTGAGCAGTGTTACAAAAACCCAGAGAGGAACAAGGACCCAAGAGTAAAGGAGGGGCCCATAGTCCCGAATGCCCCAGGGAGGGCAAGAAGGATGAGAACGGAGCCCAGGGCATTTGATTTAGAAATTAAGAAATCACGGGTAGTTTTGGAGAGTGCTTCTTCTGTTGAGTGACAAGATTGAGAGGCAGACTGTAGAGAGTAGAGAAGTGAGTATGAGGGAAGCAAGCAGAGATGAGAAATGTAAACAGCTTGTTTTCTAGAGTTTGGCTGAGAAAGGTCATAGGGTATATAGGAGGTTAACTGAGCAGATGGAAGAGTGCGGTGAGGGTTTTTTTTTTTTGGTTTTGTTTTGTTTAGGATGAAGAGATGAGCATGGTTGTAGGGAATGGGGAAGGCAACAATAGAGAAGTACAGATTAAAGATTCAAAAGGGGGGATGGTTGTGGGAGCCATCTGTTAGAGATGGGAAAGTCCACATAGAGGGGCTGGCATGTCAGTGAGAAGGGCCACCTCTTCATTACAGAATGGAGTGAAGGATGGAATGGGGGATGATGTCAAGGGGCTGCGAGGCACAGAGAGATGAGAAGAAGAGGGAGCACATGGTGAATGGCTGTGATTTTCTCAGCAAAGTATGAGGTGGATCCTCAGCTGAGAGCAGAAGGGGAAGGGATAGCGCTGAAGGTTTGAGGACACTAATAGGGATTGGGAAAGAGAATCAATTAGGGAGGAGTAAAAAGAATACCTTTTTGCATTTAGGGTCCTGTTGAAATTAAGTGACAAATATGTGTGATCTATGTTTAGGATGGATTAGAGATGGGGAAAGATCAGAAACAGGAATATGATTCAGTAGGCTATGACAACATTCCGTATAAGAGGTCAGAAGATCTCAAACTAAAGGCCCTATAGAGGCCCTGTAAATAGGGTTGTTGTCCTGCCTAACTCTTCATGACTCCATTCAGGGTTTTCTTGGCAGAGATACTGGAGTGGTTTGCCATTTCCTTTGCTGGCTCATTTTACAGATGAGGAAACTGAGGCAGGCAGGGTTAAGTGACTTGCCCAGGGTCACACACCTAGTAAAGTGTCTGATGCTAGATTTGAACTCAGGTCCTTTTGACTGTAGGGCCAGCGCTCTATCCACTGTGCCACCTAGTTGCCCTGTGAGTGGGGAGGAGACAGATGTGAGGGATGGGGAGGTAGAACCAATAAGACTTAGCATTAAGTATTTGCAGTCAAAGGACACGGGTTCAAATTCTGAGTCTGATACTTTGTGTACTCACTTTGTGACCTTGGGCAAGTCATTTAATCTCTATGGACCCTAGATAGACCTACTTGGCACTGACGGTGCCTTCCAAATTTAAATCAATGATCCTATAAGTTTTCTGACTGAATATAGAGGTTAAAGGAGAAAGGAAAGTGAAAGATGACTCCGAGGCTGTGAACCTGACTGACTGGAAAAATGGCAGTAGTATTGACGGAGGAGGGATGGCCTTTGGGGAAACTAAATGAGTTCTGTTTGGAACATTTGGGATTTGAGACCCTTCCAACTGAGGATGCCCAGTCCTGGAGTCAGGAGGACCTGAGTTCAAATCTGGCCTCAGACACTTACTAGCAATGCACTTAACCCGGTTTGCCTCAGTTTCCTCATCTGTAAAATAAGCTGGAGAAGGAAATGGCAAACCACTCCAGTATCTTTGCGAAGAAAACCCTAAATGGGGTCATGGAGATGGACACAATTAAAAGGACTCAGCAGAGGGAGAGGAGAGATGGGAGAAAATTTGGAACTCAGTCTTGTGGATGTGAACGTTGAAAATGCAAAATAATTAAATTAATTAAAAAAAAAGAAAATAACAAAAAAATAGAAGGACTCAACAGTAACAACCTCAATCATTAGCCAGCAAACCTAAACCTGCCTCCCTGAAGCTTCCACCCTCTGGGGCCAAAGCAGAAAAGCGTAATCTCATTTTCCCCATCTGACAGCCCTTCAAATTCAGGGCAACAATGACCAACTCTCTCACACACCTCCTCCCCAGTCTTATTCACATCTCCCCCAACCTCCTGGTTTATTTACAAGACCATGCACCTCTGCCTTTTGCCTCCACCTAAAGACACTTAGCTCCTCATTTATTAAGCACATACTATAACCAGAGGATATCTGTCCTGCCTCGTCTCAGCTGTGAAAGTCCTTTGGCGACCCCTACGGTGCTAGAGAAATGTGGACTTACTCTGCGGCGGACACTGTTCTAGACAAAGTGCCCAGGAAGGGCTTCTGCTCTTGGGAGACTCACGATCTCGTATACTACAAAATATACTGTAAAGCAGATCAAAGAATGTATCCTTGGGCTCAAGAAAGAGTCCCTAGGGACACACGGAACTCAGATCCCAAGAAATGGAGAGGCGATGGCCAAAGCTCGATCCTGGAAGCGTGAGATATTACAAATGAAGACAGACAGACTGACCGCAAGTAGGCCAATCATTCAGGAAGAAATTCATTGAGAACCGGAGCTCTTCAGATGAAAGTATTTTAGAGAACAGCTCTGGGTCTGCTAACCGCTGTCTACAAAAGCTCCTTCTCTTCATGCCTGGTTCCCAGCATCCACGTCTCCCTAATAAACAGCTACTTTCTGTTTTAACGGTCAGTGACTCTTCAGCCAAACATTATTTGTCCCAATATGAGCAGATGACCAGAAACCACCTTTCTGGACAACTCCTGAAAGGGCTAGTAGGTCACGTCACCAGACACAGATTGCTAGAGATCTGAATGCAAGCCTAGCTTTATTAAAATACAGAATCAATATTAAGCCCTGTGATTACATAGGTTTTCAATAACATTTCATTTATTTCCACGTCCCGGTCTTCCTAGCTGATTGTCTTGTTCTGCTATATTATTTCCCCACTAAGAAACCTTGGTAGATTTCAATAACCTATACAAACAAAATGTCTCCTAGCTGGAGATGGGGCAGAATGACGAATTTCATTGAGAATACCTTTTACTCTTGATGGTCTCTGGAATTGTGGGAAATCCTTATCAATTATTATGACTTACCTTACCCCTCTGAAATATTTCACTGGAATTGTGGGAAATCCTTATCAATTATTATGACTTACCTTACCCCTCTGAAATATTTCACGATTCGATTAAAATACCATTTCAGTTCAAGACACTGAAGGAAAGTAAATGCATGTGGCTCCTCTCTTTCGTTTTAACTGTAAAGACCAGTAAACACTACCATTCCAAATTCTAAATTCTCCTCTCTCATCTGTATGTCACAAGAAGATCAGGTTAAAACTTCATGGCAAGCAGTACTTTGTATGCTAAAGAGAAAAAAATATATCCATCCATATCTTTGACACAATGGAGGAATACCTTTGTCGCTGAGACTGTGGGTTTGTGGAAAGACTGACGCGGGAATAGACTTGGCAGGAATCTTGGATATGAAAATTTTAACTTTCTCTGGGGATTTTAAGCAACAGAATAGTTAATTCAGCCAAAACAAACAAAATCTTATCAAAATACAGAAAGGTCTAAAGAAGACTGAGTTCACAGCAAAGTTAAAACAAATCATTCCAGATTTCTGGATATATGTGTGTATGTGTATGTGTGCCTATATATGTGTGTAGATGCCAAATATGTATGTATACGTGTATAAATATATAACAGGTACATATATATGTATATAAATATATGCATACATGATTTGTGTATATGTACATATGTATAACATAGGTATGTATATGTACACATGCATGTGTATAAACATATATAGGTATGTATATACATACACAAGCATATATATATGTGTGTATGTGTATATATATATATGTGTGTGTGTGTGTGTGTATACATACACATATTTCTATCAAGCAATACCTACACATATTTCACTTAAACTCAGCAGAAACATGGTCTTAGCCATGTTTTCCTATAGAAGGAATTTGAATTATTTGTCCCCAAAGATTAAGAGGCCTTAAAAATGTCTACAGTGTTCAATTTATACATAGCAGAAATTGATAGGCTAATTTCCCCAATTGCTAATAGAAGAAAATATACATAATCTGAACACAGAAGTACATAAAAATAGATCTTTTAAGTGTATGGATGTGTAATTTCTGAACTCTAATGCCATCTGCTGGAAACTGTAGTATAAAATATATCTTAAGTAACAATAAAACCTCTTTATCAGGTACTTTAAGGAATAAAGGTCTGAAATGGGACTGGACATCAAAGAAAAATATATAGAACACTGAACAGAATTTGTATTGAGAATAGGGTTTTAGGAATGGCTTAGGTGGTCTTTGGAATCCCTATGAAAATGTGATGGGGAAAAGAGTTTGTGGACATTGAGCACATGGCTGTGGGCAGACTACCACACCAGGCAGTGGGTGTTAACAAAGGCAATTCCATGAAACACTCAGAGGGAGAGTCCTCGTGGGGAGAGCTCTGGGCAGCTGAGGGGGCTTTGCTGATGTCTATTCTCTTATCTTTCCCGTTCTTTGCTTCCCTTCTCCTATTTTTTCATTCTCCCTTTCGCCCTCATTAATCACTCTACCTACCCCCTCACTAGCCCACTCAATCACATTCACACACTTGTCCACTCTCCACATTTTGTCTCCTTATCTTTTGTTGTTTCCTCTTTGACTTTCTCCCCAGCCTCTTTCTTTCATCTCTTACTTTCAATTGCCAGCATTTTCCTTTGCCTTTTTTCTTCTGTTTGACCTCTCTTCTACCCATGAATTCTATCTATTTATTTCCCTCCAATTTAATATAGAGGGAGGCTGCTACCACGCTGGCGAGATTCCTGGTGATGGATGCCATGGGACGATGTGGACGGGAGTCTCAAGGAGGATGGCCAGGACAGACTGTGATCTGTATCACTGGAGGGTACAGTGAGATCACGGATCCATCTGGATACAGCAATATTTGGTAACACGATCACTCCATCATTTGGCTCGCAGATGCATAACAACAGCTAGCATTCATATGGCATTTTAAAGTTTACAAAGCACTTTACACATTATCTTACCTCGTGATCCTCACAACCACCTTGTGAGGTAGGTGCTACTATCATCATTTTACAGATGAGGAAACGGAGGCAAACAGGGGTTAGGTGTTGCCCAGGGCCACACAGCTAGTGTCTGAGGCAAGATTCAAACTTGGGTCCTGACTCCAAGTCCAGCACTGTAGGTGTTGAGAACTGGGTTTTTACCCTTTCGATCTGAACTTATTGTATGGTGCCCAAGGGTTCCTTTGGTCCATTCACTCTCCTTTCTCAGGGTCTGATAAGTACATATGAAGCTAAAGAGACTTTGGCCGTCTGGACAATGACTTTTGGCTTTGCTTTCTACCCACCTCCCCTCCCGCCACGACAACGTGGATGCTCGCCATGCTACTTGAAGCTGGGGTAGGGAGTGATGAGAGCTGGCTGCAGGGTCTTCATTGGAGAGCTGGTTGTCTCTGCATTTTCTAATCTTTGGTTTGGAGTCAGTCCCCCAAATAAACACACTATTGTTTTGGGGCAGAGAGAGGGAAGGGCCTTGCTCTTACATGCTCCTCACAGTGACCTAGACCCAGAGTGGTGGTTTCAGACAGGTGGGGACAGGAAGATAAAGCCTAATATCCTAATAATGAAGAAATTCCAACAACCACGGAGAACAAGCCCTATTCTTTGGATGCTCTACTACTAGGCAGACTAGCCCAGGAACTGTTCAATCAGCACATGCCTAATGAGAGCCAGCTGTCTACGAGACACTATCTATATGAGATGCCATCATTAAGATTTTATAAAAATGAAACATTTCTTAGGAACTCCTTGACCACAGCAGACTGGCAGCTTCTCTGTAACACACAATCCTAGGGAGATGCCTGGACACCGATAGGCTAAGTGACCTGACCTGAACCCAGGTCTCCCTGGTGTGGGCCTGACATAGGACTGCTTCTCTGGAGTGCTCCCTAATTAGGCAACTTGCCTGCTCTATTTTCACCTAAGAGTTTGCAGCTTTATTTTCTCAGGCTGACAGTCCAACTGGGTACTGAATTCGCTCACTGCCTCACCTCACTCATCATGCATCTCGGGGGGAGATTCTCCTTAACATATTTAAATCAACTCATATGGAAGCTAAATCCTTTTGAGATAATCATATATGATCTAGACTCTGATAAAACTGCAATAATTAGAAACGGGAATAAGTGTAGGGATTTTTTTTGTCAGAATTTGTTCTGATATCTCAATTATGAAAGAATATTTCCATTATGATTCCAATAGGACTTTAATCCAACTAAAATGATACACCAGGCTGGCCCAGGAGCAGCAGAGTTCCTAGGGTCTCAATTCTACTGGACCCTTCTCTTCCACATTAATGGCATTCTGATGACTTACATTTCTTTAATGACAACATGGTGATCTCACCTCCCGTGGAAAGGCCAAGCGGGAGGAAATCAATGTTCTTAAAGTCAAGTTCTTCCTTTATAGGAGGGAGCTGGCAGAGCAGAAACCACTGTCCAAGGACTTGTCTGCTTATGTCACTTGCTTGTAATATGAGAGCATGTCATCCAGACTTTGGTAAAGGGGGCTGGGGGCTCGTGCTGGGCGATGAGTAGTAGCTGTGGAGGAGGATTCATTGATCTGGCCAGAGCCAAGTCCCAAGGTGTCATGTGAAGGTCCAGACTGGTTCCAAGTCTGGCCACTGACATGCCCGGTTCTCTTCTGACTGGAAAAGTAATCTGATGGTGGGGCAAACTCAGGATCTCTTTCAGCCCTGAGATCTGACTGCCTCTTTGACCAGTGTCCAAAAGAAAATTCTATAGGAAAAGAAAAAAAAACCTTTTAGATTTCTTTTGCTTTCCAAAGACCATGGAATATTCTTTACCTCAACAGGCAATTATTTACATTTGATAAGGAATTTTGGAATTCAGAAATGTACATAACTTGTTTAATCAAATCATGCATTACAAAGCATGTTTATAAACTGCCAAGTCACTGTAATAATGTAAGGTATTCACTAAAACATTATAAGGACCAGATTGCTCCCTTTCACAGCTATGGCTTGGAAGAAATCTTAATTGAGGAACAGACATTCTCAAAAAAATAAAATAGATAATTCTGAAAACATGAAATTAAAAAAAAAACTTTTACACTTAAAAAAATCAATGCAAGTTAAGATAAGAAAGGGAATGGTTGGGGGAAAAAATCATTGCCTTAACTGTCTGTGAGGGTCTGATATCTACGGTGTAAAGGGAACTAATGCAACACCAAGAGCCCAGCGGATCCCCAAGGGACAGGGACAGTTCAAAAGAAATGCAAACTATTAATAAGATGAAAGACTGCTCCAAATTACGAATGACAAGAGAAATGCAAAACTAAGCAACACCAGCCCTGAGATCCGAGAATCTGGATTCAGACCCCACTTCTGACACTCCCCTGCCTGTGTGACTCCCTGGGCCTCTGCTTCCTCCCTAAAGAACGAGAGGGCTGGACTAGACTAGGCTTCTGGGGTCCCTTCAAGCTCTAGCTCTATGATCTTATCAGCCAGTTTATGAGTATCTATGAAGCACCTACTATGTGCTGACATCTGCGAAGCACCTACTGTGCCAGGGCCCACGTACTTGGAGGTTTCACCCCACACTTAGAAAGATGACAAAACAGAATAATCATCGCTGGACGGACTGCCACAAGACAGGTACATTAATTACACTGTTGGCGGAGCTGTGAATCGTTCCAACTATTCTGGAAAACAATTTGCTAAGAGAAGTGACTGAAGAAAAGCGACTCTGCTAAGAAATAGACAAAACTATCCACACCTTTTGACCCAGAGATCCCAGTGCTAGGCATCCACCCCAGCAAGGAGGGGAGCGGGTGTCAGGAAAACAGTAAAAAAAAAAGGTATCCTAAACACCAAAACATTCACAGCAGCATTTTCTGTTGTAGCAGAGAAGTGTAAACATAGCAGATGCCCCCAAACTGGGGAGCGGCTAAACAAACTGTGGCCCATGAACGTAACAGACCCATGCTGGACAATGTGAGAGGAGCAGGGGAAGCCTTGTGTGAACTGAGGCAGAGCTAAGTAACCAGAGCCAGAAAGCCCAATGCATGACAGCAACAACACAAATGGAAAGAAGGAAAAGAGAAACGAGAAACCAAATGCTGGGCCATGAGAGGTCCAGAAGAGAGGTGAGAAAACAGGAGTCAGTCGCCAAGCATTTACTAAGTGCCTGCTGTGTGCCAGGCATGGGGTGACAAAGAAAGGCAACAGCAGCCCCTGCCCTTGGGAAGCTCGGTCTGACAGGTCTTCCCCTTCCCTTCTCCCAAGGCGCAGGAGACAAGGACTGCGGAATGCAGAATGCTGTAAGGCCAGCTGCTGCATTAGTCTGGCAGAATTGATGTTTTTTTCTCTTTCTTTTTTCACTCTTTGATACACAAGGGGTAGATTGCTGGAGAAGGGATATTTGGAAATGAAGGTGATGCATAAACAAAAGATCTCAGTAAAAATAATTTTGGGCAGTTAGGTGGTACAGTAGACAGAGTGCTGGGCCTAGAGTCAGGAAGACTCGAGTTCAAATTTGACCTCAGACAGTTACCTAACCCTGTTTGCCTCAGTTTCCTCATCTGTAAAATAAGCTAGAGAAGGAA